AAGTCGGCCCCGCCAGACTTTAAGACTTTCTTTACTGTTTTTTTTTTACTTGTTGTATTTACTTATTTATAGCAGTTTATATTCTTGATAAATACCATATAATTTTAAGAATATTTCATAAAGTCGCCTAAAAGTATGCCACACACAAACCATTTCAGCCATTCATAATGGGATTACTGTAAAATGTCTGTCAATTTTGTAAATGTCTGATTTCGAAAGCATTTCACAGTAAGTGGTGGGGGGTGGGTTGCAGGTAGGGAGATGGGAGGCGGATTGATGGTATCCTGAACTCTTGATGTCACATGACACAATATTGCTGCCATTGTTGTTTTTGACATTTCAGTTTGTCTGTCTTGTTGCTTGGCATCACTCTAATATTGGTTAGATTATGAGTGGCGACGTGGGAGTATGACCACAACAATAAACCATCTCCTAACGTAGAGACAATGGCTATGTTAAATCAAATATGAATTTAGAGCATAGCCATAATAACAATAAAATGACAGTTAAATTTTAGGGTAGACTAAATGTCACGCATTTTTCGAGATGATTGCAAAGCTGATGTAATAGTCAGGACATTTGTATGTATGTCTTGGCAAAAGTTTAAATTTTTTGTACGCTTATACAAAATGGGTCAATTTGTAAAAAATTTAGCCGGTGGTGGAAGTATAGAATATGTCCTTAGTTTGTGCAGGGCAACAAGGGGACGTAAATGGACTTCATGGTTTGTTTCTAACAGAAGAAGAAATCATAGGACTTCGGTTTAGAGAGATCATCCAAGAGTATGTTATTTCATTCAAATGCTCCTGCCCTTACATGACCTTCTTAGGTCCTCCATGCCTTCAATTTTCCCCTTCTTCAAAAACTCTCTTTGGTAAAATAAAATCTCCTACACTTCCCAAATCCTCTTAAAATATTAAAATACATTTATATGCATCCTTAAGGGCAAATATCTATTCATTTCAGCAAAAAACTGGATCATTTACATCGTTTACAAGGTATAATACACTTCTATTTCGAAAACAAATAACAATCTGTAGAGCATAAACGTAATTGTTTTATCTTCATTATATGAAAATCGCAATATAATACGTGTATTGAATTTGGTTTTTAGGCTAGAATTTATGATGACTGCATAACTCAGCATGCGACCTACAAACATACACACACACACACATACAAAAATACCTTCATTTACATTCACATCTAATCCTTTGTCACTGCTAAATTGATGGCACTTCATTATCGCCTTTGGTTGACTCAGCGTGTGGTTTAACTGACACACTCTTGTCACCAACAGCAAGCAGTGTGAACTAAATATAAACATTTTATATCCATGAGATTTGCCAAAAAAAAAAAAAAACGAATAATGAGGCGGATGTGTGACAATAATGAGGATAGATATGAGGAATAGTAATTGTGTACATTTTTCAAGGCTTCTCGGAGCCTTAAACTGGGATTTAAAGTCGAACAATAAACTTGGATGTTTATACCTTTAGCCATATGGCTAGAGAGGGTACATATATTTTTTGATGCTGACAAAACGTGCCTCATCAAAATAACGGTTTTAGACCCTAGGCCTCTTTGGACCAAAAATATATTTTTTTTTCTTTGCAAAGAAAGAGAAAGGATAATCCGACTTTGCTCCAACTTTGCAAATACGAATATTTGTATCAGTGCTAATTCAGGTGCGAAAATGAGCAATATCGGTCGACTCTTATAAAATGCGAAGCAAGCATCCGAATCTCTTCAATTTTCTTACATCACAATATTTATATCAACACATAATCTGGTGCGAAGATGTAATATATCAGACTACTTCTTCTGGTACATCCCCCTCAACGGGTCAAAATTTAGAATAACTATGAAGCTCTTAAAACGCGAAATGAGCATCCTCCTATTTTCAAACTTATGCATGTCAGTCCGTCTGTCCGTCCGTCCGTCTGTCCATGTATTCTTGTGAACAAAATTGAAAAATGAAATTTTCCAAACAACATTTGTTTGGCCCAAGGACGAACCCTATTGAAATTGGAGGTAATCGGTCAAAATTTAGATATAGCTCCCATATATATGTTCGTCCAATTTGCCTTTTATTGTGCACCAAACGTGTAATATCAGGCCAAATAGTATGGAATTTTGCACATACAACATATTAGGCCTGAAAATAAGTATTCCAAATTTGATCGAAATCGGTTCAGATATAGCTATAGCTCCCATATATATTGTTCATCCGATTTGTTATTTTTTTCCTCCGCAGCCGTAATATGCACTCTGTAACAACAATATATATCCAATACAGAAATATATCCAATACAGCTCAGAAATAACTTTGCTAAATTTTATCCAGATCGGTTCAGATTTGGATATAGCTCCCATATATAACTTCGTCCGATTTACCTTTTATTGTGCACCAAACGTCTAATCTTTGCCCAAATGGGATGGAATTTGTCACATACGACCGAATTGAGTCTAGAAGGTAGTATGCCAAATTTGTTAAAGATCGGTTCAGATATAGCTATAGCTCCCATATATACTGTTCATCCGATTTGTTATACTTGTTACCCACAACCGTAATATGCACTCCATATCAACGATATTCAGGGAAATATATCAAATACAGCTCAGAAATATCTTTGCCAAATTTTATCGAGATCTGTTCCGATTTGGATATAGCTCCCATATATATCTTTATCCGATTTCAAATTAATTGTGTACCAAATGGGCAATACAAGTCCGAATTTAGCGTGTATGATTGAATTCTCCCATAAAAACTTTTAATTGTTATGTGGAGCTCAACTAAATTAGCAAAGTGGTGTAGGGTATCATAAAATCGGCCCCGCCCGACTTTAGGACTTTCTTTACGGGTTTAATTAATAATTTTCAAGACCTATTTGAGGTATAAACCTGGATTTTTTAAAGAATATTCGTAAAAACACTCAGAACTAAAGGGGCAGATGTTTAACATTTTGAAAACAATCTTGGATTTTTTTCAAGGACAATTTGAGCTTCGAACGGGGACTTTTAAAGAAAAAACTTCAAGGATTCACAGATATAATTTCTTAATTACAACTCACCGGACTATAATATTGTTTTTGATTTTTTTTCAAGGATCCTCGGATCTAAAATCTTAGATTCTTGCATTAAAAATTTGTTCAAAAACTAATTGAACAATAAACGTGAACTCTTTAAAGAATATTTTTTAAGTACTAGCGTAGCAATAAACGGGAGTTAAAAAATCTTTTCAGGGACCAGACAGGCAACAAGCTTGGAGTTTTAAAAGAATTTTTTTCAAGGATTTTTAAGCAATATTTATTACGAAATGTTTTAAGGATAATAATCGTGGATTTGGAATATTTTTCGAATGACTCACAGATCTAAAAATCTTGAATTTTTAATAAATATTTTCGAAAGACCCTTTTTGCTTTTTATAAGTGTTTTAGCAGCTATAATCGGAGATTTTCATAAGAACTCTCAAAGCTGTAATCGAGGACCTTTAAAGGTCTCTCAGAGCTGTAATCTCGGACTTATATAAAGTTCCTAAAAGCTACAATCATGGATTTTTATAAAAACTCTCAGAGCAGTAATGAGACGCTTTTAAATTTATCTGTTATCGTGTTCTTTTACAAGGATTCCCAGAACTTTAATCGAATACTTTTATAAGGACTTTAAGAGACAAAATTGTGCTTTCGTGGTTAATTGTCCATCGATCGACCTCTCCATCTGAGTATTTTTTAGATTCACTCCCATCGTTCTTGTCCCTTTCCCCCTTCACCTTCAGGAGAGGATGACTTCTTCGGAGAACAGCCTGCATCCATCTTTATCGCGGCAACAGTTTTAGCATCTGCTATCAGTTGCCAAAAATTGAGCTTTTTTTATCCCTCCGCCATACATAGTATGTAGGGTCTATTAAGTTCGTCATTCCCTTTGTAACTCATCGAAATAATAATTTTAGCCCAAATTTTTTTATTGGAAATTTTCAAATTCGTTCCAAATGGTGGAGGGTTTCCAAAGTTCGGCCTGGCCTGGAACTTACTGCTTTTGTACTTGTTCTAAGCTATCATGCTATGGAGCTGCATTTATGACGGAAAATTCAGGTCTGGTACAAGCGTAACTCAGCTTCACTTTAACCTCTCTGCGGGCCTCCTCAGATACCTCACTGGGGTTCCCGTAAATAATAAATGACGTGTCTTCTAAAACCGTTTTTACATTTTCACCCTCTATCATTGGCTCAGCTCGCTTGTAGCCAAAAAAAAAAACCTCATTGCTCTTTGTGATTGATAAAAAACGACAGGCTCATCATCTCCTGTTTCTCGAGAAGTGGCTTACCATTCTCCACTGACGCTATTTTGATGACTAGAGACGACCACTCTTTAGTGGTCATGAAAGCAGAATCTTCTAGATCGGCTAGGATGAAATAAGCTTTAAATAACCGACTTTTTCCGTATTTTCCTCCTTATTATCCTTTGATTCTGTATCTATTTGTCCATAGTTTTATGGACAAATAATGTGGATACGTGGTGTATACTGTATAACCATTACCCGTGGCCATAACCGAAATTCTGAATGTATCATTAACTTTTTGAGCTTTTTGTTTTCAATCATCAAGGCGTAATGCAATTGGAGGCAGTAAGCCCTACAATGACATATACAGAAAATACTGTAAATACCTTCTCTTTAAAAATCAGACCATTATCAAGTTTTTTAAACCTATAATATTTTTCCACACTGCAATCAGACAATTATTTCGAGGTGCCCCATTGGGGTAAGCAAACTATCATACCCCGTTCAATTTTATGCTGAAGTTTTACAAAAAAAAAAAACAAAATCAGATATTTCCAACATTATTGCTCAAATCATTGCCAGGATACCAAACAAAAGAAAAAAATGTCAAATAAAACTTTCAAGTGTCTTTGAAATATCTACCAACCGTTAAGGTCCTTGCATATTCTTTTTCTACCCTTGCACCTTATTTCATTTGCCTTTTTTTCTAATCTTTTTAGTGCTACTCGAGGATTTTCTGTGGATACCTCACCACCGGCAAATGAAAAACCACCCGAAATAAATTTCTCTGCTACAGCAACGGCAACAACAGTGTCAGCATCAGCAAATGTTCCCACATCGTCATCACCTTCAGTGCCTGAACAAGATGAATATCAAACAGCATCCAGTACGGTTAGTGATTTTGGCAATGGTAATGATGGAAGCGGTGGCGGAGGCGGCGTTGGTGCGACAAACAGTGGTCGAGGGAGCTACAGCGGCGATGGCAGTGTAGTTGGTGGTGTGGCCAGTAAAAGTTCATCACTCCGTGATTCCATAGACTATGATGCCCTCTACGAGGAGGAGGAGGATTCCACCATTAGCATGGAGGCGCACGGTTCAATGATTTCACATTTACTATCACAAGTTAAAATAGGTATGGATCTAACGAAGGTGGTGCTGCCAACATTTATATTGGAAAGACGTTCTCTGCTGGAAATGTATGCCGATTATTTTGCCCATCCGGATTTATTTGTAAGGTAAGTGTGTGCGTGTGCAAAACATTTGTGTTGAATGAATAATGATTTTTGTGGTTTTAATTGACCCTTTTTTAACAGAATTGCCGATTTAGATAATCCACGTGACCGCATTGTACAGGTATGCCGCTGGTATTTGAGTGCTTATCATGCTGGACGTAAAAGTGCTGTGGCCAAAAAACCCTACAATCCAATATTAGGTGAAATTTTTCAATGTTATTGGGATATTCCTGGTAAATATCAATAAATGAACAATTCGTCTCCAAATTTTTAAAATAATTTAAAATTGTTATTTCAAATTCAGGTGAAACACCCGATGAAGATAAAGTCAGCGATGGCCCGGTGCCCTGGTGTCGTAAAAATCAATTAACCTTCTTGGCCGAACAGGTTTCACATCATCCGCCAAGTAAGTTGTGATGGAGAAGAATTCAAACAGAAAATAAACCGATTTATCCAGCAACTGACTCAATAAACGTTGAGCTGAAAATGGCAATTATATGAAAATCGCTAAAAATAAGCGAGGAAAGGGCACTGCTACACAAATTCATTGAATTCCTTACGGCCTAGAATGTTTTTGCTTGAGGACCTGAAAAGATTTCGCTTCAATGGACAAATATTACCCAAGTTCACCCGTTCTATAGAAAATTTCGGCCTGAAGATGGATAGGATGGGTTTTATCTGTAGAAAAACTACTCCTCAGAGCATGAGAATGTGATTTTTCTACAGAAAAACTTTTCAGTCCCACATTAAAGTCTATTTTTCGAAGAAAAGCTTCCGCTCAGGGTCTAAGTATGGGTTTTTTTCTAGAAATACTTCTCCTCCGTGCCAGAGGATGGGATTTTACCTACAAAACTTTTCCTCATGGTCTGGGGGTAGCTTTTTTCGTACAAAAAAACAATACGCGAAAAAATGTTTGAGAACCTGAAGACGGTTTTTTCTACTAAAAAGCTTACCTCAGGTCCTGAGACTAGCTCGTTTTTCTCAGAGCCTAGGGTAAGAGGCTGATTTTTTGTACCCTCAGCCATATGGTAGAGGATATATATCATTTGATACGGCCAAAACTCTTTCGACCAAATCCGTTTCAGGATATTTGAAGTCGATTTAGCGATGTCCGTCCGTCCGCCTGGCTTCCTGATGAGCACGATAACTCTCAAAGGGAATATCGGATTTGGTCCAAACTTGGTACACCGTAATATTTTTGTCGAACTTAGATCGAGTTCGGAGATGGGCAACATCAGTCCACTCCTTCCAGTACCGCCCCCACAAAAGGTCAAAAATCATAGGAAATAATTTACCCCATAGGAAGAGAACGAATAATTAGATTTTGTTCAAACTTTGCAAATCGTACAAGAGCGGACTACTTCTTCTAGTACCTTCCCCACAAAGGGTCCTTGGAATATCTAAAACGCCCATAAAATGCGAATTTCTGTAAATTTCACACATACCAATATTTTTACCATTACAAAATCTGATGTAAATAAATCTGGTAGCGGACCACTCCTTCTGGTACGTCCCCCACAAAAGGTCAAAATTTTGACCAACCAAAACGCTCATAAAATGCGAAATAAGCATTTGATTGTTTTCAAACTTCGCACATCTCAATATTTGTACCAAAACAAGATCTGATCTGATGTGAAGATGGGATATATAGGACCACTCCTTGGAATTGCTTCCCCACAAAGGTCCAAATTTGGAATATCTAAAACGCTCCTTAACCATTAACCATTACAAGATATGTTGTGAAAATGGGATATACCGGCTCACCTTCTGGTACCTCCTCCACAAAGGTACACAATTTAGAATAAGATGAGATATATCGTCCCACTCCTTCTAATGCCTCCTCCACAACGGGCCAACATTTTGAATAATAATAACTATTACAAAATGTTATATAAGAGTCCTATTGTCTTCATATTTCGCTCATCTTAATATATCTACCAACAAAAGATCAGGTATGAGAAACAGATAGAACTTCTGTATGTCCCCCACAACTGATCAATATTTTGAATAAACAACGATAAGGCAACTTGAAACAACCTAAAAAACACAAGATCGGCTATGGATATATAATATATTGGTCATCTCTTTCTGGTACCTCCCCCAAAAAGGGCCAAATTTTTGAATGATTATAACTCTCAGAACATGCGAATTATGTCAACGATTTTCTTCAACCCTTGTATATTACAGTATTTTTAAAAACAAGAGATCTGATCTGAATATGAAATGTAGGAGCCCACCCCCTGGTACCTTCCCCACTTATTAACAGTATGAATAAAATTATAAATTATAAATCAGCGATCTTCTTCAAAGGTCATGTATATTGGTTATGTTGACCCACTCTTTCTGGCAACTTCCCAAAAAAGTTGATCATTTTTAAACAGTATATATACATTTTATCCAACCCTGTCATTTTCAATGATATACTAGACTAAGGACATAAGCGAAATAGACATTGTTGTTCTACTCCATCGGTAGATCACCTAACAAAAAATGTCAAAATATATTTTAATAAACAGAAAAAAAGCTTAGGGTATCAATCCGTCGACAAAGTCTACTGATACTCTTTAACCTGGTCATATTATTCTCTATTAAATATACTACCTCATGTTGAGTTGTTTTAGTCAAGTTACCTCAAAGTAGGCTTCTTCGTATGACTATTCATTTATATTATTTCTTAACTTTACACATACAATTTATTTAATTAAATTCTAATTCGTTTCTTTAATTTTTTTCACACCACACAGTTTCCGCATTCTATGCCGAACACTATAACAAGAAGATCACATTCTCTGCCCATGTATGGACAAAGTCGAAATTTTTGGGTCTATCCGTTGGCGTGCACAACATTGGTGAAGGTGTTGTAACACTGGTCGATTATGGTGAAGAATATATTGTCACATTTCCCAATGGTTATGGAAGGTAAGCGTATTGGTTTCAACTATATATCAAAACACTATTAACTCATTTTTCTAAAAATTCTTAGATCCATATTAACAGTACCCTGGATAGAATTGGGCGGTTCTGTAGAAATTAAGTGTCCACAAACCGGCTACTATGCCAATGTTGAGTTTTTAACGAAGCCCTTTTATGGTGGTAAACGTAACAAAGTTACAGCAGAGGTATGTTCTCCCATCGTGGTTTATTTCATGATGTTTTGTATTTATCCTTTTTTATGTTTTTTTTTTTTTTCAGATCTACTCCCCGAATGAAAAGAAACCATTCATTTCAATAGCCGGTGAATGGAGTGGTTTAATGGAAGCCAAATGGCATGATACAAATGTAATGTATATGAGTTTTTCTTTGTCTATTATTCTATCATTATGTTGCATTTGTTTTTTTGTCGTGAGGTGTTGAACTTTGTCCATTTATAGTTATTTATATCATTTACAATTCTGGATTGCATTTGGTTATTTTTAAACTTAAAGTTTTTGGACTAAATTCGAAGGTATTTTCTTTCCAAATCATCCTTTTGAAAAAAATAAAAATACATTATAAATGGACTAAGTTAAACAACTCTTAGAAATTATAAAAGTATACATTTCACTAAAAAACGATTCGAATGACTAGGTTAAGCTATAAGTTTCATAAATTCAGTAGAGTTTGTAATTTGTTTTGGGTATTGTATAAACTTTAAGATATATTTATAAGATAAGAGGATGACAATATCGTAAAGCAAATACAGAGATATTCAGATCCTTTGTGTTCATCCTGCAAGGGAGAGTAGTTTTGAGATAATATTCAAGCTAGAAGAAAGTTTTTATACCCTCAGTCATATGGCTAGAGAGGGTATAAATCATTTAATACGTCCTAAACGTGTCTCATCAAAATAACGGTTTTAGACCCTAGGTCTCTTTAGACCAAATCCGTTTAAGGATATTTGGAGTCGATCTAGCGATGGGCAATATCGGTCCACTCCGTCTGGCAGCTCCCAAACAAAATGTCAACATTTTCAAGGAAAAAAGTATTATGTCGGTCCACTCCTTCTGTTACCTTCCCCACAAAGGGTTTACATTTTGAATATTCATTCCGATTCCATTCAGACTTTGCACATCTCAATATTTTTTATCAGCACAAGATATGTTATAAAGATGGTAGAGATCGGACCATTCCTTCAGGTAACTCCCGAACAAAGGGTCAAAATTTAAAATAACCAAAACGATCATTAATTTCGAAATAAGCACCCGTTTCTCTTCAAATTACACAAATCACAATATTTTTATTAACCCAAGGTTTGGTTTGAAAATTGGATGTATCGGTCCTCTCCTTCTGGTACCACCCCCACAAGGGTTTTGAGTATCCATTAAGCTCAAAAATCGCGAAAGTAACATCCGATTCCATTTAGACTTGGCAAATCTCAATATTTCTTTCAACAAAAGATCTGACAGATCGGACCATTTCTTTTGGTACCTCCCTCACATAGGGTTCAAGATTTTTTGCAAAACAAAACGCTCAAAGAAAACGCAATAAGCGCCCAACCCCAAAAAGATCCCTTTGTTGAATTCCCAAAAGGGTCAAATTCTTGACCAAAATTATCCTCGTATTGTTATCAGAAATATTCCCGAAGACGATGCAAGGATTTCAAGGAATCTTAATCCGGAAATGTAAAAAAAAATGAAAATAGAATGGGGTAGCCTGCAATCCAGCGGAGTTTAAAATTTAATTCTGCGCGTGTGTTTATACTTTAAAGCCACAATGGATTCAATAGTGTGCGAATTCAAACTGCAGTTTTTTTCGCTTGATTCAGCTCTGGCTCAAAAGACCTCTGCCCTCGCCCCTTTCCAGCTATGTTCCATCAATATATATTACTATGCAGTTTAAAGATTGATTTTTATGGACCATATATCCCTATCCAAAATACAGATATCCCGTAGCTCGAAGTTCTAAACTGGTATAAAGACCCATACTTTCTGGGAAAATAGGTCGGTGACCATCATATCAAATCCTAGGGTTACATTAGACAACATATTCGAGTCGCCTGTGCAACCATAGCGTTTGTGTTAAATTGAAAAGTTGGAACAATGCCTTAATGTCGCTTGTGGGCACTTGGACTGCAGGAGGAGGGGAATAGTTTGAGGCCATTACGGTTCTACACCTAGCCATAATATTGTTCAAACTAAACTTCTCTCTGTCACGTTTTCAGCTTGTCTTCACAAAATTTGGCAAGTAAAATTTCTAAGTCTCCTCTTTATATCTATAAGCTCCTCATTATTGTGGAGAGGAAACAATTTAACTTCCGTAAATTCCCTAAACAACAAAGGGAATCTGAAAAAAAACTAATAAATCTTAGGATTTAAAAATGTTACAAAATGAATGTTTCATATCAATTCGAATCGATTTTTGGTGAAATAATATAAATATTAATTTTTTCAAAGTACTCATTTCAAATTGGTAGAATTTGCTTCTTGTACTTACGTATGTATGTTTGTGTGTGTTTGCTAAGTATTGTGTATAATTATTACTTACATTGCTACTAATTTTCTGTATTCTTTGTTTTTCTAACCGAGTTATTTAAACTTTTCCTTTAAATTAAATGTATATCCTTTCTTTATCCCAACGAGTTGTTAACCCGAAACAAACGAGAAGAAACAACAAAAACCACATTCACACACTTCCTTTAACTGACTTAACCAGCTAACCAATTCAAATCTCACCTGTAACCACAACGTCCTGTAACTCTGTCGATTACTTGTACTTCTCTCTTAAATATTCTGGTCAAATGTCTATGTTTATCTAGAAAATTAAATCTTTTGCTTTTCCAAACCAAAACTCCCTCTAATACTTTTATGTTATTTTCTTTAAGTATTTGTATTTTATAATGTTTTATTGTTATTATTTGATTTGTTTAATTGGTTTTTGGAGTATGTATCTTTGTGTCCATGTATTTGTGTTAAGTGAGAAAAATATTAACAATTTAAAAAACACAACAATTTTATTGTCAAAATCAAAAAAAAAAAAAAACAACTTATTTTCATGGAAATTTTTAATTTTCTAGAAAACTGAAGTGTTTGTAGATGTAAATCGTATACCAATATTTAAGAAACAAGTTCGACCAATCGTTGAACAAGAAGAATATGAATCACGACGAGTATGGAAGGAAGTGACCGCTGGACTCAAGTAATGATTTTTTTAATATTATTATTATTGACATTCATTTTTAATTTTAAATATTAATGGAATATTTTTATAAATTGTATCCATATTATTATCTTGTATTGTATATATTTATGTATAAAATGGGAAATTAGTAGATATATAGAATGCAACGAACTTTAATGGTTTAAAGGCCTTATTGATACCCTCTACAACTAGAAAATTCCGAAATCCTAAGATAATATAAATCATCTGAATATAAGAGACCCCATAAAGGTATTTTATATATAGAAGACCATTTTAAGCTATTCTTTACAAAACACTGTTGGAAAATCTTATATCTACAGAGAACTTTTTAATGTCCTCTATATGTTAAATTTCCGTACCTAGTCTTCTATTTTATGATTACCTTTAGTTTTGTCAGGAGTGAAAGAAATAATGGACCTCATATAGGTCTTTGAAAGATAGAAAACCTTATAACGATGTAATTTCCATTTCACAAGCAACAATTAAGGCCTAGGCTAGACTGTTTTTTGTGAGGCTATATTAATGCTAATGTATATACAGATAAGGCCGCTTCAAGGAAGGGAGCGAGATAGTCCCATCGTTACTTTTGAGGATCTTTATAGAATCACTTTCTGAGTCGATTTATGCATATCAGTCCGTCTTTCCGTCCATGTATTCTTGTGACAAAATGCAGGTCGCGTTTATTATCTGACATTTTTCAAACAATATTTGTTTGGCCCAGGTACGAACCCTATTGAGATTGGATGAGATTTAGACATAGCTCCCGATTTCGGGTTAATTGTGAACCAAATGGCAAATATAAGTCCAAATGAGCTGAATTTTGGTACATCCCACCGAAATAAATTTAGAAGCAAGTACATCAAATTTGGAGAAAATCGGTTCAGATACAGCTATACCACCCATATATATGTTTCATCCAATTTGGGGTTGGAAGTCCCCCACATGCGTAATATACCCTCCTCAAGAATGGTATTTGGTACCGGACATCAGATAGTACTCGAATACACACACCTCAGTCAAATTAGGATATAAATCACATATATATCTTTATCCGATATCAGTTTTTTTTGTGGACCAATAGCCCAAATGAATTTTGGCAAATAGAACTGAATTCATCCTAGAAACCAGTACTTTAAATTTGATGTAAATCAGTTCAGATATAGCTATAGCCCCCATCTATACATTTTATTCGATTTGGGGTTTAAAATCCCTCACAAGTGTAATATGAATTCGACAACAATGATATTTGGTACCAGATATCAGAAAAAGCCCAGAAATATCTCTGACATATATTTTATCAAGATCGGTATAGATTTGGATATAGCTCCCATATACATAAATCTTCAATAGATTTTGGGTTAATTGTGCACCAAATGGGCAATATCTCTCAAAAAGTCCTAGTTTTAATACATCCGACCGAATTTAGTCTAGAAGCAAGTATATCAAATTTGGAGAAAATCGGTTCAGATAAAGCTAGAGCTCCTATATATATGTTTCATACGATTTTGTGTTTATGACGCTCACATTCGTAATATGCATTCGACAATAATTCTATTACCTTTCCTAGATAAACATTTTTTAATAGTAACAACCCTCAAAAATTTGAAAATAGTTTCCGATTTTCTTCTATAAAACTGCTATATATCGGTCAACTCTTCCTGGTATCTACCCGACAAATGGGAAAATATTTTGAAAATCCATATGTTACTTATATCAACTAAACGGAGTTCACAAATTAGTCCAAACTCTCAATATGAGCAAAACTAATGTTATGCATATATCTACATATATAAATGGTGGTATGCTGAGGGTACAATTCTATGGGAAAATCTATTAATACTTTCCAACTTGTATAGTTTTTATTTTTTACTTTTATTTATTTTTGAATTTTTATTTCAAATTCTATACCAAACTCTAACCATTATTCCATTTTTCTTTTTGCCTCCCCCTCCCTTAAGATTCAATGACATTGAAAAGGCAACAAATGCCAAATGTAAAGTCGAACAAATACAACGAGATGCAGCTAAGGCTAGAAAGGATTCAGAAATATCCTGGGATCATAAGGTGCGTATTTCCTCTCTTAAATAATATAAACCAATTCTTAATTATGTTTCTTTTGCAGTATTTCAAGCCAGTGGGTGAAAATTGGATATATACCAAGCCGCTAAGTCAACGTCTCTACCTAAAAGAAAAGGAAGATCAAAGATAATAAAGCTTGAACAGTATTGTAACGATTCAAACCAAACGCGCAATGAATATATGTATGGATAACATGCCACATTTCCTAGCCTCGTCCACCAACCCAGTGTTTATTCATTAAGAAGAAAAACAACAGAAAAAAAAACGAAAATCAAGAAACAAAGCCTACATTATCGCTCCCAACACCTTCTTGTTTCTTTTTCATATCACTTATTAAACAAACAACAAAAGAGTCGCCAAACAGAACACCAGATAATGTAAAAAAAAAAAATTAAGAACTCAAGAAGTCTTCAAACACACCTACGAACACATAATCTACTACAAATTTTATGTATTAAAGCCTACAAACACAACAACAACAAAAGACATGTCATCATTATTATTATTAGAGAACAAACAACACACACACAACATACATTTGAATTATTGTTAAATAATATATATACAAGAACAACAAAATACTACAAAATAAAACGAAAGCAACAAATACACCAACAATATGAATATATATAAATTTAAGAAAACAAACAACTACAATAACAGGATAGCCCTTTTGATTTTTAAGAAGGGCAAACAAGGATAATATCGACTACCCACATCAACCGCAAATTAAAAACAAAAAAAAACAAAGACCCCTCAAGATTATTATTGTTAAATTAAAATCAACACAACAAGAGCAACAACATTTTAGTTTTAGCATAAGCAAAAGAAAACACTGCAACCACAACACACATTATTAAATAACATTATTGAATGCAAAAAACACTTAAAATTTATATATATTAATAACTAAAACAAAAAAAAAAAACACTCAGCAATTAAAAGTAAAAGGCAAATCACTAGCAAACAAACACCGTGTGAGAGTGGCAGCATTTTATGGAATTTCGTTATTGAAATGAAATTATTACTCATGCAATTCTTTCTATTCTTCAAAAATAGTTAACGGTTTAAATTCAGTTAAATTATGACCCTTTAAAGGACATCAACACAATTCACGCCTGAGCTAAACCTTGTAACAACTCTCGAATTGTTTTAAAACCCTTTGCAAAACGCGTTTGACGAATTTTTGTTATATATTTGAATCTTTTTCATAGTCAAGAGATTGACAATTGACATGTTCGGTGTAAATAAGGCTTCAACTATAAATATTAAAATTCAATAATGGGACATTTAATATAAAAATTAACTTAAAAAATGTGGGTACATCTCAACCGAAAATCTCTCCTAATGCCACTACAAGCTAAAACATGTCACTTTGTTAAAAAAAAAAACTCTAAGATCTCCAAAGATGCCCAGACACCATTTCATGGTAGAATACTGGTGGATGTATCAATACATTTTTAAGTAAAAATATAAGTAAAAACATTTTTATGATATGCATTTTTTTAAAGTTTTACAAATTTAAATCAAATTTCAATTCAAAAATTGGTCTGATAGTCCCATGGTGGAAGAATATAGGTAGATGCATCGACACTGCTGCTAGGACAATGAACTGCCAAACCAAGTTTGGAATTGAAAATGTTAATTAAAACATTTTTTAAATTTGTAAAAATTGTTGAAACCCGAATTATAATAACATCCGACTGACGTCGTGTAAGAAAACATATTAAAATCTACTTATTTTTGAAAGAACATTTAACATTTGTCTACGTATCAATGCGCTGATGCATCAACCTGTATTCTTCTACCATGGACAGTTCGTTGCCCAGTAGCTGTTTCGATGCGACTGTCTGCATCATTTACTTTTTTAACATGCATCATTTACACAAAAAAATCAATTTAAAACTCAGTGGCTATCAAAATATTTACTGTGAAAGGACCTTGAGTCTTATATACACAGGATAAATCTGGTAGATTTTATTATGTATACGCCAAATCTTAAATCCAGTGGATTTAATTCGATGTATACGCAATATAATTGACAGTTGAGCTAAGTGTAAACGTACTTTTAATATAATAACTTATTTTATATTTCTTTCAAGGTAGAAGAATATAGGTAGGCGCATTGACTCAGCTGCTGGGACAATTAACTGTCAAACCAATTTTGGAATTGAAAATGTTGAATGAAAAATTATTTAAATTTGTAAAAATTGTTGAAAAGTGCTTATTATAATAACCTCCGAATGACGTCGTATAAGAAAACATATAAAAACCTATTTATTTTTGAAAAAACTTTTAAAAATTTTTGACATATCAATGTTTCCAAGCGTTGATGCATCTACCTGTATTTTTCTACCATGATTTCTTTGTTGACTAATACCAAGTTCATATGGGGCGCAATTCGTCTATGTCCCTTGTACGAATACCTACTAAAAATATACTTGTCTTAGAGTTTTTTATTCTGTCATGTTAATTTTTTGACGATTTATATCATGGTAGAAAAATACAGGCACAGCTGCTATGACAATGAACTGTCACTCCATTTTTGAAATTTGTAAAGATGTTGGAAAATGCAAGGCTATACGTAAACACATTTCAGCTGAGCATCTAAACACATAACCCACTGGATCTAATAAACCAGGTGGGTTAATCTTCAATATATAAATGCCTATTTAAATACTTCTTAACTAAACACAGTATTGTCCTCCAACATTACCATAAAATGCTCCACTCTCTTCGATAAAAAAAGATCACACAAAACTGTCAAATGTTTACACACAAATTAACAAAAAATAAAACACCATAAATGAAACACACAACAAAAAAAATGCCATATAAAATATTTAAAAGCGCTATTTTCTATTTTGTTAACACTGACTAATTTAAATTCCCTTCCTCCCACAAACGCCACCACCACCAACAACACATTCCTAGAACTCCTAGAACCCCCCAAAAGAAACGATCCTACTATCTTTCTAATTAAGTCAACAATTTACAATAATATTAAAATACAATATAAAGTCTAACTAACAAACGAGATAACATACATAATAACAACTCTTTTTTCGGAAAGAAATGATACTTTAAAAAAGAATAACAACAAAACAAAGCTATTTTTTCATAGAAATTTAAAAAAGAAGAAAAAAAACAAACAAATCTACATTTAAATAAATGTTAGCATAGTCCTCCTATTGAAATTTAAACGAACGAAAAATAAAAATTTAAACAAAATGAATATAAAATACGTAGTGTGTTTTTATTCTTTCAAAATATAAGCTGTTAGTGGTTGTGATTAAAAAAGAAAAGAAAAGCCACTTTGAAAATATCACAGCTAGCGACATTTTTTTCTCATTTTTAATCCAAATATTGATTTCGATTTTGTAAAGTATTTTCTTTTCTCTTATTTTACATTTGCGTCGAAGTTTTATTTTTTTTATAAAAATTGTGGCTTCAATTTTCATGGGGTTTAGGCAGACCATAAGTTTTAGAATGTAAACGTAAGTTTTTAAAGCAACTGAGCCGTTTCTCGAGTTATCTTAACTTTTAATGTTCATAAATAAATATGCGTTAAATTTAACAGATGTTTCCGGCAACTTAAAATAAGTGTCAGAATGCCACTACAAATTTTAGAAGCTACTGCATTGACATAATGAGCTCTAACTTATTTGGTGAAAGTGGCGCCCAATCTGATATTGTTTATTTGGCCGATATCTCGGACTTTTACACATTCACTAGGATGAAAACTACAACATGGTAGAATTAATAATTCATCTTATTAACATTTTGATTTTTGGATTGGGAACCTGTTTTCTATTCACTTAAATTTGACATGGTTAATTACAGAAAATGTGGAGATGGGTATGCTCGGCCGATAAGCTCATCTGACAACTATATTTGGCGTCGAAAAAAATATTCTGATTTGAAATTCAAATAGAGTCAATATCACTATAGTGCAAAAGCTCCTAAATTTGTTGCCAAATGTTGTCAAAATTCTTCTTAGCCGACCTTATATAGGCCTTGGTTTGTTTTGAAAATTGTTTTGAAAAAAACAAAACATTTTCAAAATAAAAATATTAACTAGATTTGCCAAGGAATTGTAATATCAAACAGTTTGGATAATGTTTTAAAAATGAGAAAAACAATTAAAATAATTGAGAACAACGCGTTGCATAATTACTATCTCTGAATTATGTTTATACAACGGTTAATAAATAATTAAAAAAAAATCCAAACATATTTACCTTCTTAATTGTTTGCTCCCGAAGGTAAATCGAAATTGTGAGGATTTGTTTGTTGATCTATTAGGTCGAGTGGTGAGTTTTCTATAATGGTAATTCGTTTTTATTCATATAAAATTCTCTTAAATCCGTTTTTATTCATATGATGTAATCATCATATTGAGAGAGTGTTATTCATGGGAATGTGTGAACATGGTATTATAAACTAACAAACATCTGTTTGGCATTTTGTTGTTTGCTTCGTTATTTTCGTTATTTCATTTGTTTACACACATATAAACCCGACGCCGCCGGAAAAAAATCGTTTCGCTTAGTAGTCTGATGCAAACATACAAGTGACAACGGACGGTGAAGTAAATAATACTAATAAAAAAACGTTTATTTTATTAATTTTGCAATTGTTGTGAACACAAAGGGTAATTGTAATTTCATTCCATTAAACTCTTAACAAAATTGTGGTGTGTGCTTGTTTGTAGTTGTGTGAGTTGTACAGTGTTATGAACTGTCTTCGAATAAAGTTCAATAAACATACAAAAGACAAATTCAAGTTATTTTTTGTATGAATTAAAAACAACAAAAAAAACCAAACAACCTTACCTTGTAATGATGGCTCAATGTGACGTCAAGGACGAAGCCAAGGCAATAACGCATAAAACATATGAATACGAGTTGATGCACAATATTGTTGGGATCGTACAACCACCAAGCGTGCCTCAATTTGCTTCCCAAGCTGATTTTGAGACACATTTAACACGTGAAGATTTCCTCTATTACCATTACGGATGTGATGGTTTCCGTGATCATGGTTGGGGTTGTGCCTATCGCACCTTACAATCAATGATCTCATGGATTCTGCCCAAACGTCATTGGCAGTCATTGTTGAATGTGCCCTCTTTAAGGGAAATTCAGCAGACTTTGGTGCGTATTGAGGATAAACCATCACGTTTTGTGGGTTCACGGGATTGGATTGGAGCCCTAGAAGTATTCTATACAGTCGATACTCTTTACGATGTTCCTTGTAAAATTTTACACGTTACGCGGAGTGAAGACTTGGCCCAACACATACCGGAGTTGGTTAAATATTTTCGAGATTTTGGTGGTTTTGTAATGATGGGTGGCGATATGGATGCAGCCTCGAAGGGAATTGCGGGTGTTCACACAAATGGCAAGGATTCGTATTTGTTAATTGTGGTGAGTTGATAGTTAAAATAATTTTTTGAATATTATTAATTTGTCATTTTATTGTTTCTTGTAGTCTATTCGAGTTATAATTAAATGAATAATTAATGTACTCAGTGACAGAATGTATAATAAACATAAATCTATTGGCTTTAACTGGGACAACAAGTTTTGAAATCTGTATTGAATAGCAACCAATTCAAATCTTCATTGTAGAACATTTATCCATTTGTATGTATGAGTGTGTATGTAAGCCCCTACACAAGATTTAAAATCGATGACGTTTGTTTTTCAACTATGCAAATTAGCATGGTTCACTGACTTAGTACCCAGTTTTTAAACTAATATTTGAATATAGATTATATTGAGTTCATGGATGTTAGAAATCCATTAAAATAGATGTATTCCATTTAGGATGTATTCCATGTGGATAATTCAAATATTTCATCTTTTAACGATTACACATACCAAAATTGTCTTCTATACAATCTTGTCCAAGGTCTTTAATTTAGAATTCAAGTTGAGCAAAATAAAACTTTGATTAAATTAAAGAATATGAAGACAACATGAAGGTAATTCATTTCATGGAGACACAATTTGTCTCTGTTTTGTAGCTTGGAAAATTCACCAAGATCACAAATGATTAATTCTTTAAGTCGACCTAGAGTCCAATATCGTTCTGAACGTAAAGCTAATCATATTACCACAATTATAGCAACGGAAGCCATATGAAGGGATTTAAGGTCTGGATGTTATTGCTTTATCAACTTTTTTCAGTATATGAAATACAGGGTGAGGTAAAAAAACTGCAACAAAGCCAAACGCATTAAATAATTAATTTTTTTTTTTAATTTTATTGAATGAAACCAAAAATAGCACCGGAAATAGCATCAAATTTTAGAATAAGTTAAATTTTTTTCGAATTGGTCTCTTTTGGCACGAGTTATGGCCTCCAAACGGCCAATGAAACTGTCACACGCTGCCCAAATGTTGCTCTGCGGTATTTTGGCCCATTCCCGGCGAAGGCTTGCTTGAGGTGATCGACACATTGGTATTTTTTAGTGCCAACCTTGCTTTCCAAAATACTCCGGACATAATAATCCAACGGATTGGTATGCGGAGATTTTGGTGGCCATTGTTCGCTGGAAATGAAGCGAGGAACCTCCTTTTGTAACCATTTTTGGGTGACACGTGCTGAGTGCGATGGTCTGCGGCCAACATGTTTGCTTGCCCAAGGCTTTAATATACCCTCCAGAATATTTTCGCGGTAATATTCGGCTTTTATTCTGATGCCAAGGTCGATTAATACGAACGGAGAGCGACCATCGGCTGTAATGTCGGCCCACACCATCAGCGTGGCCGGCGCTAGAGTTCTGGTGGCCAACCGAAGGTGCACATTTTCAGCTGACCTCATTTTGTTTGTTTATAAACTGCTGGACAACGAATGTTTTCTCATCGGAGAAAACCAAATTCGGCAGTTCACCACTTTCGGCCAAGCGAAGCCAAGCAACTCTTTAGCTCTTTTGAGTCTATTTTCTACATGCTGCGGTATAAGTTCTTGCACTTTTTGGAATTTCAATATTTGCCGAATGGAATATTGCGATATGTTCAGCTCACGAGCCATTTTTCGGCCCCTTCAACACGGGTTTCGATCTTTTCGAACCATTTCTGCTGATGTTGCTGTTTTCTTCCGTGCACTTCCTTGATATCAGGCTACACTACCAGTCACCAATCACGGTAACGATCGATGGTACGAGACACAAAAGATTTATTCACATTTAAATGCTGGAGTGTCCTTACGATAGCCACTTGCGGTTTTCCAGTCAAATATAAGGAAATCACAATATCATGCTTGAATTCCATGAATGCTTTTGTACGCTTGTAAACAATATAATGAGCTGTCACTGGAATAATTCTAAGAGCTGTCGGACGTGTGGCTTAGAATTGACAGCAGTCTGATGTGGGTCTAGTTTTTGTATCTCACCCTGTATTTCCTATATCTAGTTCATGGAAGATATCATCAATGGTTGGCTATAATATCTTTTATAAAGATGTGTTTAAAGTACAGGCAAATTAAAGCATTTGAGATTCAGCCAAACTACCGCTGCAAGGAATTGTGACTTTGGTCAAAATGATGGATTCAAATTGGTACAATTAAAAACGAGGAATAAAAGTTCCAATTTTTTGCGAGTAGAACCAGTGCTTGTTATAGGACTAACATGCTGTTGCCAAATTTTAGTGTGTTAAGATGGGTTGGGTTATTAGACATCTAACTTAACCTCCCTTGCTATTGTTTCTTTAGAAATTTGATTTAAATTAATTTTGCCTTGATTTTTAAATGTATTCACATGATTTTTTTCCAAACAATTTAAAAAAATAGTTTGTTTTTTTTCGTCTTTTTCAGGATCCCCACTATTCTGGCATACCATCCTCAATAAAAGATCTGATAAACAATGGCTATATACGTTGGCAAAATACTAAAGAATTTGTGGATAGTTCCTTTTATAATCTCTGTCTGCCATATCTGAAATAAAAGCGACATTTATGAAATTATAACGAAAATATATTCCAATTTTCATTATGGGGAACTGTTAACAAATTCTTCGGATTGGCCAAAAACAAAAAAAAAAACAATTCAACACTGTTGTAATTTTGTGTTACGTTTGGCCAGCCAATGCAGAGGTTAAACAAACAAACAGACAAATGAAAAAAAAAATAATGTTTTAAATTATATTTTTAGATTACGTTTACGATTGTTACTGACAGCAGAAGTTAACAAAACGTTACTCAAGCCAAAGTGTAATGTACAAAAAAACAACAAGTAATAGCTCAATTTAATTAACAACAACAACAACGTTGATATTAAACACAAAAACAGCGTCAGCAGTTACGGCAAGAAACACAGCTAAAAAGAAATTGATAAAACATTCTGCTGCTAACAACCGAACAATAACAAGTTTAAAAGCATGCTGAACAGTCAGCGTTATAAAATAATAATAAATAGACTTCCGATAAGCCGCCTATGAAAGTGTAAAAAATATTCAATATGCCATTGAATGGAATGTAGAATGTAGTGGACATTAAAGTGACAATTTAAAGACATGTCCTGGAAAAGGTGAAGATACAAAAGACCTCACATAACTACAGTTCAACAAAAGTGCAATAATTTTGATAAGTTATAATAATTATTTCCACATACCCATTAAAAAGAAAATGGATTTCTTTCCGCGATTATTTTGGACCCTTTTTGGTACGGCATCACTGTGTTATTTTGTGATTAATGTGGCCTTGGGCTATTGGAAACGTCGCGGCATCCTCCATGAGAAACCCAAAAAACCTTGGGGTCATCTAAAAGGTGTGGGACGTAAACGCCACATCAGCGAAGTACTGCAAACGATCTACAATAAATACAAAGGTCAGGCACCTTTTGTGGGTTTCTATGCCCTGCTGAAACCAATGCTGTTGATATTAGATCTCGAATCTATACATTATATATTGCTTAAAGATTCCAAATATTTTATGGATCGTGGTCTCTACTATAATATACAAGATGATTATCTATCACAAAATCAATTACAAATGGATGGTCCCGATTGGCAACATTTACACCTGAAATTGAAATCCCTGCAGTGGCAGGAGAAGATACAAAACATGTTACCAGCTTTACTGAAGGTTCAACAAACCTTTAGCAACTCTCTGCGGGAAAAGGTGACAAAATCCCAAAACAAGCTTAACATAAATATAACAGAATTGGTTGAAGGATACAACATCGATTGCATTTCGTCTTTGGCATTTGGTCTCGAGGGAGACTCCGTGCGTTATCGCAACACACAATTCCATACAATGTGTAAATCATATATCAAATCCAATTTTAATGTCTTCAAGGCATATCTGGCCTTTTGTTTCCCCTCCCTGGCACGTCTGGTGCAATACTATATGTACTCCCCGAAGGCTAGCCAGTATTTTCAAAAACTCATATCGGATAAGTTAAACGAACGAGAATATCAACACACCCAACCCCTGCAATATGATTTTCTCCAGCTGTGGTGTGATTCGCGTAAGATAAGTCAACGCAATCAAATCTTTAAGAAATTAGACAATCAAGAAATTGTTGGCCAGGCATTTAGTTTTATATTGGCTGGCTTGGAATCCAGTAGTTCAACATTGGCATGTTGTCTCTACGAATTGGCCTTGCAGCCAGAGATACAAGACAAGGCAAGAAGGGAAATCCGGGAAGTGCTAAGCAAGCACAAGGATAACCTAAACGAGACGGTACTTAAGGAGTTGGTGTATTTGAAGCAGATATTAAATGGTAAGTCATCTTACATAAATAAATTTATTTTTAATAAATTATAAATTGTTTATTTAGTAAGGATTTTATCGAGAATTTTATATATACTTCAAAACATCAATTGAATGAATCGAATAAGATTGGAGGATGTGCAGTCACAATTGAGATTGTTACAACCTCACCCGGGGACCTTTAGGTCCAATGTGAAAGAAAGAACAAAAAAAAATAGTTGAGAAGGATAGAGGGTGACAGATATTTGTAAAAAAAGAATGGAGAAAAAACGTCGAAAAGAGCTGTGCTTTTACTCTGGCGCCAGATCCTTTACTGGATCTTTTCTGATCTTTTTGATTAATAATATATGGCAAAAGGGATCCCTGTCTCAATGCACACTGCGACCATGTGTCCAATGTTCCCCCATAGCACGTAGTCTTTCCCTTTATCGAGCAGGTGTTCGACGTTAGAGTTATCCTATTTGGACGTTTTTGATCGGATGACGCATTGGTCTGTTTGTATAAGGTTCCAGCACGTCATGACTGTATCGAATGCTTTTAGGGCCACCGTTTCAGTTAATTCATTCTCCATAGTTTTAATCAGCTCTATTTTTTCGCTTTCATGATGGCAAAGATATCTGTTTGGAAAACTGCACTTTCCATCCAACTTATAGAAGTAGGCCATTTCTAGTTCCCCTCACAACACACCTGCTGCTGTGCCTTTTTCAATCTTTCTATAAGAAAGGATGGGCCACACCACAGCTTTATACATCCAGTGTTTGTTAACGGGAGAGAATCCCCAGTTTTTATACCCTACATCACTTAGTGGTAAGGGTGTTATGTCAATGTGTATTTGTTTGTAGCAATGAGCAGGAAGCGAGATAGAGCTATAGTTACTTTTGAGGATCTTCATAGAATCACTTTCTGAGTCGATTTATGTATGTCAGTTCGTCCGTTTGTCCATGTAATCCTGTGAGCAAAATTCAGATCGCGTTTTTTATCCCATTTAGATGAAACATTCCAAACAATATTTGTTTGACCCAAGTATGAACCCTACTGAAATTGGTGAGAATCGCTTCAAATTTATATATAGCTCCTATATATATTCTCAACCGATTTCGGGTTGCACCAATTGGTCAATATCAGTCCAAATTACTTGATTTTTTACACATCAGGCCGAATTCAGTCTAGAAGCAAGTACATCAAATTTGGTCTTTAAGTCCCTCACATTCGTAATATGCAACCCATACGAATGATATTTGATACCAGATATCAGACACAGCGAAGAAATACCTCTGTCAAATTGTATCAAGATCGGTTCAGATTTAGATATAGCCCCCATATATATCTTCAATCGATTTTGAGGTTGGCCAATATCAGTCCAAATGTCCTGAATTTTGACACATCCGACCGAATTCAGTCTAGAAGCAAGTATATCAACAATTTGGTAAAAATCGGTTCAGATATAACTTCAGCTGCCTTATATATGTTTCATCCGATTTGGTCTTTAAGTTCCTCGCATTCGGAATATGCCCTCGACAACAATGATATTTGGTACCAGATATCGTATAGAGCTAGGAAATACCTTTGTCAATTTATATCGAGATCGGCTAAGTTTTGGATATAGCTCCCATAGATATCCTTCATGCGATTCCAGGTTTATTGTGCAAATAATGAATAATATCCCCCCGAATGGAGTGAATTCTGGTACGTACGTTTCCATTTGATGGAACTCGGCTTCGATATATATTGCAATGTTATTTGTTTTCAAAGATAAAAATGTCTCCCTCAAATTAACTGAAAATCGATTCAGAATTGGATATGCCTCCAATATATTAGTTCCCTCCGAAACCAAATTATAGCTGTTCTAAAGCCAAGTGTTGATAGGTGGTATGATCTACTTCAAATAAATTATTTTGTTACGGGAGCTTTACTAATTATACATAGTGGTGTAGGGTATCATATAATCGGCACTGTCCGATTTTTGACTTTTCCTTACTGGTTCCTCTTAAATTATTGCAGAAGTAGAGTGCAATAATGCCGCGTGAAAACCCGTTGCGCAACGTTTTTGTTCTATCTTAGATGACAGTCCAAAATCGAATCGAAACACATTAGTTATTCCTTGAATTATATTCTAAAAATCCTATTGATATTTATTTTTGAAACCTTTGTTAACATTAATATCCTCCTCATTTCAGAAACGCTTCGCAAACACACACCCTATCCATTCCTGTTGCGTCTCACCACCAAAGACTATGAGCTACCCGATTCAGTATTCATGTTGCGCGAGGGTAATCATTTAATAATACCCACATCAGCAATCCATCATGATGCCATGTACTACTCGAATCCGGATAAATTTGATCCGGAACATTTCCATTCCAAGCAAAGTGAAAAAAGACCGGTCGGTGCATTCCTGCCCTATGGTATGGGGCCAAGGGCGTGTGTAGCTCAACATTTTGCCCAACAACAAATGTTGGTATGCCTTGTAACACTGCTGCAACATTATGAATTTACACCATGTGCGGAGACCACAATACCTCTGACCTATGACAATTCCAAATTGATGAAGAAACCGAAAAATGACATTTGGCTAACAATTACGAGTGTGCGATAGCCAATTAATTCGTAATGCTTTGTACAAACTAATATCATAAGTTTTTGTACGTTCCCAAGACGAGTGAATTGAAGAGTAAAATAGCGATGCAATCTTACTGGGAAAATTCACTCCACAGAAATGATCGAGTTTGCTCATTGTCTGTCTACACGATTCATGGGAAGAAATTGGACCAAGCGTTTTGTTTTGTTTTATTTATTTTGTTTTTGTTTTGAAGACACTTTGTGTTATTTTTATTCATTCACGTTGCTGTGCTTTTAGTAGCTATGATTGTAGTATTGTGTAAAACATGTATTGATGTAAGTCACTTTTATAAAAGCATATAAATGAGGTAAAAATGCCTTACATTTTCGTGGTATTTTGTTCGTTTCGTATAAACGCCAAACGCAAAGTTTTAAACAAGTCCAGTCGAAAGCAAGAGTTAAAAATATACCAAATAATACTTCGTCATGAAAGATTTCAATACTTCCCCCTTAACAATAAATTTTTAAAACTATCCCACTTTGGGCATTGTAATTTCATATACCTTACGGCACGGTATTGTAGCATATAAATAAGTTATTTAATCTTATAATTACATTCAGGCTTGTGTAGTTAATAAGGAAAGAGAAAAAGAGAGTATTGAAAAAAGGTTTAACCACAGATTATTAATAAATATAAAAAAACAAGTTTTTGCAAAGTCTTATTGGCCATAGTTTACAAAGGTTTTCTGTTATGTATTTTTTTTTCTGCTTAATTGCTTGTGATAAAACATTTGAATTAATTCATATACCTAAATACGTAGGTATTTGTTGTTTTAATTTTTGCGCTTTACTTATTGTTGTATGTGTGTACGAGTTTTTTTTTAATTATATTTGCTAATATTGCATTGCTTTATGTATTTTTTTTTTGTTTTTGGGTCTACTTATTATATGATAAAACACCATCACCTATTCAAACCAATGAATAGAAGTAAAGATATATAATTTAAAGAATTAAAATAGTTTTGTAAGAGAGAATGCAATGGAAATATTTTTTTATTGTAAATAAACGATTTATTGTGTGAAAGACAATACTTGTATGTTTTTTATTGTAAAATAACATTCTAAATGTAAATTGAATTTAGAAATGAAAAAGGGTAGGGATTCAACAACTAGACGAAAAAGGGCCAAGTAAATTCCAGTAATATCGTGGTCAGTTTAGGCAAGAGAAATCGATCGATAGTAACAGCGGGTAATGATAAGGTGTGTCCAATAAGACATTTTAACACAATATTCAAAAGAGTGTCTTTTTCTTAATATGAATGATAGAGTGATATTTCATATAAAGAGAGCACGTTAATAATGAAAAAAACAGAAAGGAAAGATCAAAAGTCGGTCGGGGCCGACTATATGATACCCTATACCATTATGCGTATTTAGTAGAGCTCCCTTAAGAAAAAAAGTTTATATTGGAAATGTATGAGAAGTGGATCATATCAACTCTGAATCGATTTTCTATAAATTTGACGGAGGCTTTTGTACCTCTAGTACCCAATAAAATTGCTGTATAGTACATGATAGACTCAAAAGAGCTAAAGAATTGCTTCGCTTAGCAGATAGTGGTGAACTGCCGAATTTGGTTTCCTCCGATGAGAAAACATTCGTTGTCTAGCAGTTTGTAAACAAACAAAATGATCGTGTTTACTTGCCAAAGAGGTCACCTAAAAATGTACAACTTTAATTGGCCACCAGAACTCAAGCGGTGATGGTGTGGACTGCCATAAGAGCCGATGGTCGCCCTCCGCTCGTATTAATCGATCGTGGCATCAGAATAAGTACCAAAAATTATCGGGAAAATATTCTGGAGGGTGTATTACAGCCTTAGACACGCAAAAATTTTGGCCGTAGACCTTGGACATTTCAAATGGAAAGTGCTCAATGGCCACCAGAATCTTCGGATACCAATCCGTTAGACTATTGTGTCTGCAGTATTTTGGAAAACAAGGTTGGCACTAAAAAATACCGAAGTTTCGATCCCTCAAGCAAGCGCTTCGCCGGGAATGGGACAAAATACCGCAGAGCAACATTCGGGCAGCGTGTGACGGTTTCATTGGCCGTTTGAAGGCCATAATTCGTGCCAAAGGTGACCAATTCGAAAAAATACAAACTTATTCTAAAATTTAATGCTATTTTCGATACACATTTAAATATTATGGCGATTGACTTCGCTGCGTTTTTTTATCTCACCTTGTAGTAAGGAAAAAATTAAAGAAACATCGAAAATTTATATCCAATTTTAGGTGAAATCATAAATTCTATATTCATCCCAGGTTTGTGATTGAAAGAAATATTTATTATGTATCATCTTCACGCCAGATCATGTGTTAGCAAAAATGTTTGTATGTGTGAATTTTGAAGAGAATTGGTTGCCTATTTCGCTTTCTTTGAGCGTTTTGTTTTTTAAATTTTGAATCCTATGTGGGTACAAGAATAAAAGGTCCGATATCTACTATCTTTATAACAGATCTTGTTTTGATAGAAATATTGAGATGAGCCAAGTCTGAATGGAATCTGATGTTAATTGTTTAATTTTGAGCTTCATGGGTATTAAAAAATTTTACTATTTATTGAGGAGGTACCAGAAAGAATTGGTCCGATATATTCCATCTTCACACCAGACCTTGGGCTAGGAGGTCGAAACTATCTATATAGGGCAGAAAATTGCATCTACATTCTGTGCTTCAATTCGCACTTCAAATGGTCAACAGAAGTTTTTAGTTTTTAAAAAATCTAAAATAAACGGAAGATATTCAATACTATATGTATAAGAACCTGCAAAGTACATATTAACATATCTTCATTTAATATGAAACATTACCTACCTCACAATCCACACGCTTTGGCCGCCCAATCGATGACTAACTTAACCAACCTGTGGTTTCTTTTCTGCAATATAATTACTCCATTATTGATTTGTTTTATCTTTTGTATTTTTATTGTATACTTATTGTTGTAGAAAAATGCATTTCTAGGGAATTATTATTATTGTTTATGTGGTTTTGTTTGTGTGTTTGTTTAAAGCATGTTTTGTGTTAACTTAAAAGAAAATTAGAATATAAATTTATACTTATGCATTAGTGAAATGCGCAAAAAAGGAGATGTACTTTCGAAGAAGACACAAATGATTTCATCCATGACGTTGCTTCACCACACATCATTACCGCCCGTCGCTTCCACATTCAATACTTGTTATTGTTGTTGGCTCTCCTCCCACCCCGTCCTGCGACCACACACAATTTATGTTAATGTTTCGCCTGTGGTTACACAGGCTTCCAGATAATCGATGCGTCGCTCCAAAGTGGTCAGTTTTTCGTTGAGAACAGCTAGGCGTGAACGGCAAGACATATCAAATGAATTCAGGAAATCCGTGATACGTTTAATACTGGCCGTAATCACTTCGATGTATTCACGATTGGCCCAATCCTGATGAATTTGTTTTTGCACAGCTTCACGATGGGCACCACTCATTGTGAATATTGTTAAATATTTTCCAGTACAATTGTAAAATGTTCAAAAAGACATAAACTTTTTCTTTTATTTTCCAAAATATTTGTCTTACAGGGCAAGGAGTACAAAGTCAGCAGAAAAAGTTAACGTTGGGTGTCATGACGGCGTCAGTAAACATTGCGACCTAGACTTAATGTAACGGGTAGTTCACATGTTATGATAGTTATGAATTTGTATCTTTAATTAAGCCCACGTTTATATTTGGTTGTCTTAAAAGGCATTTGTCGATGCGTCTGTCTCATGGTAGAAGAATATAGATGGACGCGTCGACACAGCTGCTGGGACAATGAACTGTCAAATCAATTTTGAGATGAAAATGTTGAATGAAAAATTATTTAAATTTGTAAAAATTGTTGAAAAACGCGAATTATAATAGCCTCCGAATGACGTAGTATAAGAAAACATATAAAAATCTATTTATATTTGAAAAAAACATTTAATTTTTTTTTTGAAATATCAATGCTCCCAAGCGTTGATGCATCTAACTGTATTCTTCTGTCATGCATCTATCTGTATTTTGCTACCATGATGGAAAGTAAATTTTAGTCAATTAGTCAATTTAATTTAATTTAAAACGTAAGTAACCTCTATTTTGAGAATTTATTTGACGTGTATGCAATGAAATTTACAATTTAAAACCTCTCGATTGACTAAATTCCGTAAACTGTAAACATTCTCTAGTTTAGGTCCTCTCACGAGTGATTGCATAAAATATATGTTAAAATATGTAGTTTTTGGCAGAACCTTACCTCCTTGGCCTAGAAATATTAATATATTTCACTCATGAAACTACTCGTATGTGTAAAAAAACATACATCGTCATAACATTATGAAAATCGAGTGGGTTTAAAATCAATTTACCATGTCGTCTATTATTCATTTTGGCAAGCAGCTGGAACAAAAATAAAATCGCGAACTTTATGGATTTTCTCATTATTTGAACCTGCAGTTACAAAAGACAGGACAACTGAGTTCACGATTATTGTTGTCAAAAAAATGAAGTTTGCATGAGTGACAATGCGTCCACAAATAAAAAATAATAATAGTATTTATAAATAAATTTTAAAAACTTTTGTGTTCCTTATTTCCTAAAATTCAAATAGTTTTTCTCCAAAATAGGTCTAAAATAGATAGTATCTAATATCTTTAATAAACATCAGGCAGTAAAGAAGACAATATACCCCGCATCAAATTGAAAGCTAAATGCAACACTAATACAAAATAGGTTTTCTCCTGTGTAAACGTTAGATCAATCATACCAAAACGTCAATTCAATAACAGAAGAAAAATCGATTATTCAATATCGCGCCAACAGTCGATAGTCGACTTACATATCCCTACGCTGCTGAGAATTAAGACAAATGTGAATCGCGTCGATGTGAAACGAACGAGCGCGTCGGAGAAATCAAACAAATTATAAAGTAACAACAACAACAAACAAAATATTCTAATTTTTAAAATGCATTCAAATGTGTGTGAAAATAGATATTGATTGAATGTTAAATGGGATAATAAAAAATCAAACGAATTTTATTAAATAAATATTTAAAATCGAAAAGAAAATTGTGAATGTAAGTTCAAACAAAATCTAATGGAAATAAAGAAAATTGCAAATTTTCAGTTTTATTTTGTGCTTTAAATTAAATAACTGTAAATTGCAACAAATTAATGCGCCAAAGGCAATAAAAAGAAAAAAGCTAATAAATTTGTAAGTTTTGGTCGTCTTAAAGAGGAATTGAAAAGTTTTCTTATTAGAAGTCTAGAAATCTGTCTGATTATATATTGTTAACAAAATAAGTTGCAATAAAGGGAAAATTTTGCTTTGCCAATTTAAAGAGTTGTGAATGAGTACTGATTGTGTGGTTGTGGAGTGGGTCAGACATTGAAATCCTGTTTTCACTTATACTTGAACAAACAACAACAATACAAGGAGTAGCAGTAGCAGCAAAAATAATAACAGCAACAATAAATCAAACAAAAAAGGAAGGTGCATTATGTTGGTTCGTTTGTTCCCTGTGTCCTAAGTGACCGAACGCGAAATTAAGTTATATACCTACATATTTTGCTAAAGTGAGTGGTGTGCACAGTGTATGAATTCAAATAAAAAAAATCCCCGTGTGTGTATACAATAACAATAAAAACAAAAACAAGAAAACAATTAAAAACGGAGTAGGAAACAGAGAAAAAAGGAAACTTCACATTTTCCTCCTCATCCTCCTTCGTCTCAGCCGCCCTTCATTTGTATGGGTTTCCTTTTTTGGCGAATATAAAAACAAAACAACCAAATTGAGAGTCCCTTAATAACTGTGTGATGGGAGTTAGTGTTCTCTCATAGCAGCCGACTCTCTCTTACTCCCCTTGTCAACTCCACTCGAACTTAGATTGGGGTTGTTTTTGTTGTGCCGCCTTGACGTGCTAGACTAAAAGGAAACAACATTACAAATGAAAACAAAAATAACAATAACAACGAACAATATATCGTCGTTTATCAACAAAAACAACAACGCGAAGTTGTTGACAAATAGTAGACATCGGTTTAAGTCTCTTTTGTAAGAAAGAAAAAGCGAAGAGTCAATTGCAAGATTTGTCAATATTTGCAGAACGAGAAACGAAGGAATATAAAATTAAATAAATTATAAGGAGAAAATTCGTTCAAAAGTGTCAAAATAGCGCGCCATTTTTTGTAGAACTACCACTTTTCTCGCATGCTTTACATTTTCCCAACTAAATTCGGTGCGTATGTCTCACGGAAACAAACCCCCACACACATACACATACTCAGGGAATCGCCAGCCGATCACCATAGAATTGTCAATTGTTTTTTTTTCGTGTGACTGGAACACAGTTTAACGTTCTAAATTAAGGGAGGAAACGCTTAATTATGCAGTTGTTGTGTTTGCAATAACTTCCAAAAATGAAACCAGTTGATGAATCTCTTTGACTGGCTGCTCTCCCTGTTAGTATTCACCCAATGATTGTGATGCTGTAAAATTTCCAACATTTTTTTGTCGCTTACAAGAAATCTTCAACAATAGCAACATATTTGACAGCAATTGTCAAAAAGTGCATGTAAGTACCACCACTTGAAGCATAAACATAAAGAGGGTAAAAAATTAAATTTTAAGTAATTCTAGCCAACACCAAGCACCTCAAACACATACACACATCGCAAAGAAAACCTCTTCATTTTTTCAATAATGCAAAAACGTTTATCCTGCCGATGATATTGAAAAGCAACAGAGCCAGATGCAACAAAGCGCAGACCAGAAACGACAGGGTTGCTTATCATTGTCCTTTGTTGTCGTCCTAATTGTGACTGTTTTTGGCTGCCAGCCTGCAATTCTGCAAAGTGAGCTAATTTGAATGCATTAACATGTCTTCCGTCTGCCAGCCTGTCTGTCTGTCTCTCTGCTTAAACAATTGAATTGCAATCGGAATGCATTTACGAATTGCATACAAGGAAGTATGGAGGATGGGATTGTTTTTATTCAAATACATTTACCTTTTATCTGATGAATTGGAATACAAATTTGTCTTTTTGGAATAACAGAAATGATTTAGCTAATATAGGCCAGTGTGAATTTCGGGGTGTTTTGTTTGTCAGTTTCAGAAAAGCAACAATGTACAATCAGTTTTCGGGAGTGATCCTTTGTGGACTTGAAAACTGTTTCTGAAGAAATGAAAAAAAAAAAATGAAAAATATCATCCAAAAACGAAAGCAATTCTTGGAGTACTTACTGAGAACTCCAGGTTACTTGTTCCTGGATATTTGTATTGAAAATGGCGAAAATTTTCAAGTATGGAAAAATTCAAATCTTATTTTTTGCCAATTTTCTCTATACACCTTGCTCCACCTCCTTCAAATTAGTATTTTAGATCCCATAAAGTATGTATATTCTTAATCAGCATTAAATTTTACGACGAATTTGTCAATTTCACTATAACTGTTGATTCAACCTCATTTTTGTGTAAGTAAGGTCCAATGACACCACCACACTATAGAACGCACCGAACAGTCACACCTTGAATTCGGCAATTTCGCCTTGTGCCAACGAGATGGAAATAGGTTTCATCAAAAAAGATTCTCGATTTTTCGGTGGAATTTCGAATCCTTAGTATGCATTTGAAGGAACCGATCAGAAAATATACGACGTTGTTGATTTAGGGTTGGCCTGCCAGATTCAGGTCTAAGTCTTTAGGTGAAATATGATGTAATCGAACGAGGGAAGGGCGAGTATACGCTCAATAGGTCTGCAGGGTATATTAACTTTGTCATTCCGTTTATAATCCCTTGAGATAATCAAGGAAGACCATACAAAGTACAAAAAAATCAAAGTCGATTTAACGATGTCCGTCTGTCTGTCTGTCACTCTGCCTATCAAACAAAGTGAGATAGACAGCTATAATTTTGATTAAATGTGCATTTTGTCCTTAGGCAAAAAAGTTCGTAAATAGGCTATGTCGGTCCAGGTTTTCTAATGGCAACCATATAACTGTACCTCCCGATATTCGCTATTATTTCCTTTAATTCCAAAGAAGGCGAAGTTTCTTTGTCACACACATATTTCATCTTTGAGCCTTGCTAAGGTCATAAAATGCACTTTTTCGGAATGATATTTGGTGTAAGAGATCCCATAGAGCAAAGAAATACCTCTACCAAATAAGGTCGTAATCAGTTCAGATATATATGTATAAAGTTGAAATTTATAAAAACATCCGATTTGATGTGAATAATGCATCAACCTTGGTGCAATTTGGATAATATTTGGATCACGCTTTCGAGCTAAGAGAGAACCAAATTTCTTCTCAAAGGGAATTCAACATAAAAAGGGAAACATAAAAACCCAGATTTGGCTACTGGTAAATATATTTCACATTTGACATTATCTAAATACTAAACAATTTTTTTTCATATTTTTTTCACAATTCCAGGACAAGGAAATACATTTCTCAGAAAACAACAAACTTCAAAATCTCTGGTATTTCAAAACTTGCCACTATTTCACAAACATGCACACACACACACTTCAATCAAAAATCGCAAACCCTCAGCAGGAAAACTTTGCACGAAACTCTAAAACTCTTTTTTTTTTGGTGTACTTTTCGGAGAGTTTGCGCAATTTGGAGTAAAATTGGAGTTGTTGCTGTTGTTGTGACAGAAATTTTGGAGTATTTGTGTTTGTTGTTCTTTTGTGTTATTTGTTGTTGTTGGCCAAAGTTAAGGACACCAAAAACAGGTTTCTCCCTCCCCTTCCACGAAAGGAGTTGTTGTTCAGCCAACAAAAATTATTCAAATTTTTATTTCTGACTGACTGTGAAAGTTATTTTCCAAGGATTTTAATCATAACGACATCCTCGAACATAACGAGATAAGGCAACAACAAAACACCATGAAAACTTCACAACTTTGTTGGGGTTCCTTAATGTCTCTCTGTGTGTGTTATTGTGTACGTGTGTACTTGCTGTTATTACGCCCTTTTTATACACAAATTTTGTGTTGTTATGAAGTTCTGCAATTGCTTTATTTTTTCCCATATCCCTGCCCATTGCCTCTACCAGCTGCAAAAATAAAATACTTAGATAATATATGTTCTGTGGTAATGCTAACAACTTCTTTGGCTGTCTTTCCTAAAGTCTATTATTTATGCGGAGTTTTTTCTTTAGAAAAAAACAACAGTTTTTCTAAATCAAGGTTGTTTTTGTGTCCGTCCTTCCTCCCTTTCGGGTTTGTTCTCTATTTCCAGTGTCATGAAATCACACTGCCTTAGGTAAATGGAGACAAAATGACAACCACATTATGTTCTGTTTTATGAAAATAAATGCCCTGATGATATTTTCAAATGAGCGAGATTTTTATGAAATCATAATATTTCTTGTTTTTGTTTTGTATCCTGGGGAAGGGTATCATTTTGAATGGGGTAAATGGGATAACATAGATGAGGCTGTTTTATTGTACATTATTTCGTTTTGCTGTAAGTGAAGCTGAAGGGAGGCGGCAGGGTCGTTAATGTTATTATATGAAGGAATGTAGAAACAATGTAGATAAAAACCACGAATAACATGTAGGAACAGCCAATCTTGGGTGTAGGAGCATTGCAATTGGGTGTGATAGCAGGTCCAAACCCACTGACTTCTCAGCGAACAATTTTACTTATAACTTCCGAAAGGGAGTATCCGTATTAAACTTAGAGCGAGTTCGGAGGTGGGCAATATCGAACCACTTCTTCTGGTACATCCCCCATCAAAACGTCAACATTTTGAGAAAAAATAATAGGTCTTATAGAACAAGGAAATATCATTCACTTTTGTGCAAACCTCAATACTTTTATCAGTGCTAGGTCTGGACAGTATCGGTCCACCCCATCAAGTACCTCCCCAACAACGGGTCAACATTTTGAATATGTACAAATCGCATAAAATGCGAAATAAGCATCAGATTCTCTTTAAATTTCACACATTCCAATATTTCTATCAACACAACATCTGGTGTGAAAATGGAATATTTCGGATCACTTCCGCTACCGCCCCATACATAAGATCAAAATTTTGATTAACCAATAAATAATAAATAAAATACATGCCAATGTTTCTATCAACATAAGATCTGGTGTGAAAATGGAATATATCGGACCTCTCTTTCTGGTACCTTCCCCAACAACGGGGAACATAAAATACGAAATGAGCATTCGATTCTTTGTAAACTCGGCACATTCCAATAATTTTATCAACACAAGATGTGAGGTGAAAAATGTAATATATCGGACCACTCCTTTTGCTACCTCCCCATACAAAGGATCAAAATTTTGAATAACAAAAAACGCTCATAAAATAGGAAACGAGCATCTGATTCTTTGCAAACTCGCACATCTGGTGTGGAAATGGAATATATCTGACCATTTCATCTGGTACCCCGACCCACAAATGGTCAACTTTTTTGAATAATTATAAGCCTTAAAAATTATAAAATATCTGGTATGAAGATAACCCATATCGGCCCACACCTGCTAGAACCTCAAACCACAAAGGGGCGAAATTTCGAATAACCAAAATATTTATAAAATGTGAAATAAACATCTGATTCTTTCTAAACTCCTGACATTCCAATATTTCTACTGATACAAGACATCGTATGAAGATTTTCAATATTTGCCCCCTTATTCTGATACCTCCTCCAAAAAAGGGTCACATTTTTTTAATAATTTTATCTCTCATAGAATTCGAAATAAGCATCCGAATTTCACACATACCTGATATATAATCCAATACAAGATCTGGTATGAAGATGATAGTTATCGACCCACCCCTGCTGGTACCTCCCCCACAGCGGGTCACGATTTTTATACCCTCCACCATAGTATGGAGGGTATACATATTAACATTTGTAACACCTCGAAATATACATTTTAGAACCCACAAAGTATATATATTCTTGATCAGCATAAAATTCTATGTCGATTTTACGATGATCGTCCGTCTGGCAGTCTGTGAAAATCACTCTAGCTTCCAAACGAATTGCATTAGGCTGATAAAATTTTACTCAAATATGTGTTTTTCGTCTGCAGGATTTTTGATATTGGAATTGGGCTAAATAGAACCACGTTTAGTTATAGCCTCCCATATAACTGTACCTCCCTATATTCGGTATTTTGATTATTTTATCGACATTATTCATCGCAATCGTTTCAAATTTCGTAATGATAGTTTGTAATGGGTACTACAGCCTATGACAAACAATTGTCTGTGCAGGTCCACGTCTTTGCATAGCCCCCATATTACGGTACCTCCCTATATTCGGTATTTCGATGATTTAAGCGTCATTATTCATCGGATTTGTTTCATATTTTGTATTTGCACTTCGTAATGTATACTACAGCCTATGACAGAAAATTGTTTGTGCAGGTCCACGTTTTCGTTTAGCCCCCATACTACGGTTCCGCCCTAGATTTGGTATTTGTGTGATTTTAGGGACATCACTCATCGAATCTGTTTCAAATTTCGTATTTGCACTTCGTAATGTATACTACAGCCTATGACAGAAAATTGTCTGTGTAGGTCTACGTCTTCGTATA